CAAATACTATTATACATAATGCATATTCTCTTGAATCATTGCTCAACCAATATGATGCCTACAACACCTTCAAAAAACAACTCAAAACAAAAAATATACTCTATTTGGACCAACTAACTACTATAGATAATAGCTCCCTTCTGGAATGGGAATACCTATCTTCACGAATTGGCTATTTACCTAAAGGCAAAAAACCAACTTGGTTCAAATATCTTGAAAACACTTTAACTGAAAACTCTTTCTTAAGAAAACTAACTCAACAACTCATACTTACATCTAATAACTATTTTAGCTACACCACTGGTCACTTTGGAAAACAAAATAAGCTATGGCTAATTATGATCGATGATAATAGTTCAGTAATTATCAGCAAAGCTCGCTTATTCAATACCAAATCTAATACAATTTCTATTACATATTGGACACATAATATTGACTATTCACATACAGTATATTATCCAACTCTATCCTTAATATGCAATCCTTGCTCTGAATGCAACTTAAACTCTAATAGAATTAAAAACTACTGTACATTTGATATTTTAGCTTCTCTATCAACAAAATTTTGGAGGAGAAAAACCTCAAACAATCAGATCTTAACATTTAAACTTAATGCAAACTACCTGGATTTGCTATACACTACTGCAAATAGGAATCCATTATATATACCTCCTACTCCAAACATTCTTATCTACAATAATTCTGTTTTTGAAATATTCAATTCTAATAACTTATCTCACTATCTAAACAATATTGCAATATCTAACTCCAATTCCACAAATTTAACCTTCTATACAGATGGATCTGTTCGAAACTTGATGACTAACCAATGCTCTATAAGTATTGGATGGGTACAAGTTAAAAACAACTCTATTATAAACTCCTTTGCAGTACAAGTTCAATATTAGCCTTCATCATATAAAACAGAACTGCTTGCAGTACTATCAACAATTAGTATATCTCCTCGTAACTGCAAAGTTGATATCTATATAGACTCACAATCTGTAATATCCAAATACCAAAAACTCACTCAAACAATCACAAACCCATCACACTACTACTCCTATAACAACTGGCTAATTTGGCATACTCTACTTAATCTTATCAAATCCTATAATCTCACAATCTCACTCCATAAAGTCATAGCTCACAGTGATAATAAACTGAACAATAAGGCTAACTTACTTGCACAAAACCACCAAACATTACCACTTCTTGAACTTAAATATGCTAATTTATATAACCTTAACTTTTATATTGTATGGGAAAATACTATTATAGAGCAATCTGCATGCAAACTCATAAAAACAATCTGCAATACTCACATTCTTGCAATGTGGTCATCACAGAATTGCAATCAATAATAGGCTCATTTATATGACGAAATTGATTAGAACTCAACATGGTTATATATTAATAATAACAACAAACACTTAAACAAGTTTACTAATTTCAAACTTAGTAAACTTAAAACCTTTCAAATTAAATTACTACATAATGAACTACTAACACTATTACACTTACACAAATACTACCCAAACACAATATCAAATAACAAATGCTTCAAATGCAACCAAACAGACTTGGAACTCAATTGGATTACAAACCATTATACTAATATATTACAGGAAATAATTCTACAATCTGGTACTGAAACTCTTAATAACACAAATTTAGAAATCACTCAATCCCAATTTTCCATACTAAAAAATCTAATTATATATCATCCATCACTTCAGCTATCTACAAACTCCTTTAATATAATTAGCTTATATACTTCACTCAAAGAACTTCTGCTATATTCACTCACACAAACAATTCAACCATATACTAACTCAGTTCACTCAGCTTCACAGATAACTATCAAACTGTTTCTCAAACTTAACTTAAAAATTTATGAACAAATATAGCTACCCTATTGTTCTGAATTTGTGAACTGAAAGCAACAACATAATATTCATATACTATACTCAAACTCTCAACAAAATCATAGAAACAACCAACAACTCTCTCATATAACTTAAAACAATCATAACTCGTATAGTCCTCTCCTCCAACATAACCAAACTTTACCAACTGAACTTGCTATTCAAAAACTTTTGGTTTGGCCAACACATTAGATTAAATATAGTTTTTCTACAAACTATATTCTTTCTAATCAAATCTAGGTGAGTCTTAACCATTCTAGTAGGTTTAGGTCACAGATAATTCTAATTTAGCTTTAATTTTAGTATTTACTTTAGTTTTAGTTATTTTATTATCATCTGAGCTTCAATTCTTGCATGAAATTTATTACCAGGTAGTTTCATGTAAACTTTTAACTATATTTTACAAAAATAAAGATAGAGGCAAGACCTCACCTCAACCTATAGGTTGAAAATTTTAAAAAAAAAAATATTAAAGTAAGGTCTGGTGATTTTAGTGTAGTGATTAGGTTGCCAGACTGCTATACAGAGGTCTAGGGTTCAAATCCTACTATTAATGAAATTTGAATTATACCTAGACTGATTTAGTACCTTAATTAGTATAGTAAACTCAGCTCATTTCTAGGGGTTATAACCCTGTAAGTTAAGTTATACTAATGTCAATCAGATATTAGCAGTGTGATGAAGCATATTGTGGGATGTAATATTACATAAATAAATCTTGATAGAATATATGGGCACAGGGACCTGCATAGTAGAAATTCTGAGTAGATGAAGTAGTACAGCCTTCGACGATCAAGCCAGTCAATGCTTGATTTAAAGTGAAACTTAAGATACAGATCAGGCTAGGTGCGAGTAAGTCTAATTTGCTGATTAGCAACACCAACCTGGTGTGGCAGCTAACTGGATTTGGAAGGATCTAACCTGTGAAACATCTAAAGTAGATACTGGTATAAAGCTACAGCAGGAACTAGTAGAAAGCTACAGCAGGAACTGGGGTTATACAAATATTGACAAGAGTAACTATAACTCTTCTAATCAAGTAAGGGTACTACAAATGTAGAGAGCAGATCAAAATTCAGGGTATGTTTGTAAAAATTCGAAATGGCGTGATACACTGAGCTAGTAGTGATAACATATAAAACAAAGGTATATTAGTCTACTGAAACACTAATTATGTGATAGTAGTACTTCAGTATTATAAAATCTATGACTAGAAGCAGCTTATGTTGTGAAACATATCCTGGACTCTACCAATACATGGAAGTATCTGTAAATAGAAATTGATATACATACAATCTATATCTGATATTAAGTTTGGAGAAGATCCGTATCCTGGCAATACCGTTGAAGTGATAACTCAAACACTACCAAATTGGAAGTAATTGTGAGGTTACGAACACCTCAAGCCTAGCAGTTACCAAATTGGGAGTTATTTATAAGAAGTATGAGAGATACGGGGAATACAGCATAGTAGTCATACTTGAGAAAAAGAGGTTATAGGAATCTAAGTAATACATAGTTGTAGGCTATGAACTACTCTAGTAGATCTTGTATAAGAATAGACAGTATATGCAAATATGCTGTACATCCTAAGCTTAATTTAGTAAATGTAGATTAGTTTGAAATTATAATGTAATAATTGTAACAGATAATTTAACTTGCAATAAACAAATTGAGCTAAGTACTCACCTTAACATCTAAAAAAAAAAAAAAAAAAAACAAATATTAAAGTAAACAGAATTAAACTTTATACTCATACTAGTGATTTATTAAACAATTAAATAATTATAATAAATAATATATTCTCTTGAAAAACAATTATTAAAGTAAACAAAATTAACATTCATACTTTGGTAAAATATTAAATAATTAAATGATTATAGTTAATCATATATTCTCTTAAAATATAATTATTAAAATAAACAGAATTAATCTTCATATTTACCTTAATGTTTTATTACATTATTGCAATTTGTTTCCATACCAGTGTTGCATTAATAACACTTGACATAAGAAACAATAGTGCAAAAAGTGGCATGAGTAATATGGAAGTGCTACGAAAAGAATTATAGCTATTATTATCTTTAAATATAGAAAAATATTTGCCCAAAACCCTCCAGTTTTAGGTCTTCTCTGACTTTGAATCCTTGTACTGGGTGAAGAAATAATAGGCAGTTGAGTTGCCTGCAGTAATTGTTTTTAACAGGTTGTAATATTGCAACCTATATGTCGTAATATTGCAACCCATATGTCGTAATAGTTGGAATTAATTACAGCAGGCAACTCTAATAGGCAGAATAATTATATTCGTAAAAATAAAGTTAAAAGTGAGAATATGGTAGGTGTTTATTCCTTAAATATTCATATTGAATTTTTTTTATTTTCAATAAGAATTTTTAACATAAAAAGCATCATAATAATTTTTTGGTAACTTTGGTGATGGTCTTGTTGAAGATCCATATTTTATTAAAAAAAAAAAAAAAAAAAAAAGAAATATGTTTGAGCGGTCTCTATCATTACTCTATCAATGGTAAATTTTAACCAATCAGCGCAGCTCTATGAAAAAATTGGTGGTCGCAGCTCCAGACCTTAAGTGATAATAACGATCAATTTTTTAACCAATCAGATCGTTCCGTAAATCCATCGAGGTAGGCGCTTGAGAACGGTCTTAATAAAAAAAGTAATCGGTTAGACGTTAATTTTCTTAAATGATTTTTTATTTTCAGGGTACATTACACTAATCTACACGTCAATTTTTGTTTGAAGTCTAACAAATAATTATAAATTTAAGGGATCGTCAATTCTGTTTTTGCACACGCTAATGAAAGTAACCAAAGAAACTTGTGGCACATTTCTTAAATAATTTAGTTAACGTAATATAAATTTTTATGGATAATATTTAGATTTACATTTAAATAATGCATTTTTAATTCAGAAGTGAGTTCTTTATCATAAACGGTCTAATACCTTCTACATAAGATCTACAAAAAGTTTAGATCATGAAAAAAAATATATATTTAAAAATAATAATAATTGAATAATGATAATAGTATATTACTAAAAGAATTTAATTTACTTCCCAATATATTTTGCCGCCTGTATCCATAACTGGCTTGGATCTCTAGCACTACGTTCATCATAATATAATTGATAGTCTGCTGGTCTATATGAAAAATCCATAATTTCATTTGGATTCTTAATACTATAAGCTTCAGCTAGTGAAAACTTTAAAGTTAAATCTGGGGAAAGTGTTAATTTTGAAATTAAAGAACTATCAAGATTTTTAAGCTGTTCAAGAAAAGTTATAAAATCAGAAGTAGAATATGCCACTCCAACAGCATATGCAGCAAAAGAAAATCTCTTATTTGGAAATCCACCAACGGATATTGTTGGAACATTAATTTCTGCTAAACGTTGAGTTATAATTGCACATGTTGACTGACAAATTCCATCAGTTAAAATAATTATATCTCTTTCAGTCCAGGGAAGTCTTGGACGCGTTGGAACTTTTGCACTATAAAGTTCTGAATCATTAAAATATGCTTTTGAAGTGTATTTAACTTGAGCATTACCACGAGTATAGATATTGTTTCCAATAAAGTCCGAAACGTTATCAAATTGTGAGTTTATCTTTGCAGAAATGTATGTTTTATAGTGAAACTCTCTTCCTGCTTTTTTTTTGATCTTTGAAATTTCTTCAATAAAAGGCGTAGAAATGTTATTAACTTTCTGGTCTAACGGAAAATTTTGTATATCAGGAAATAAGAGTTTATTTATATAATGCCCAACAAAGATATCTCCACCCTGATTATTACTTAAATCCAAAACAATCTAGTACAAATATTATTGAATAATATTTTTTCAGTATGTCAAATATAAAATTAATATTTGTGTAATATAGATATACAGTAATTAGATTTACCTTTTTTATACCTTTGTTAGCAAGTAATTTAAATCCAACAACTATATTAGACAGATAATTATATGCAACACTATCTGTAATATATTCAGTTGAAATCACGACTACGCCAAAATCTTGTAATTTATAAAATCGGGCAATGAATGCGTCAAAAATCAATGTTGCTTTTCCGACAGAAGTCCCACTTATATATGGAGATTTATATTGTGAAAATATATCAGAATTAATAGGAACAAGCCATTCTCGAGTAATTTTAGAGATTTTATCCTTGCAATTGAGTGTATAAGAAGTTAATTGATGTTAGATTTTTTGAGTTAGTGCTAAGGATAGATTTAAGTAGGTTAATTTGTATATTAGCTATTGTGAAAAATGATGAAGCTAATGTAAAAATTTGTTCAAGTTTATTTTTTGATGATGCTATCTATAATATATTATTCATAAATGCAAGAACAGAAGTTGATGTTTGTAGTTGCTGTGTTTGTTTTAATTTAAGATCTGTAATCCAAGAAACTCCTAGATTATAGCCTTTATATTTTTTAGAAATTTGAGATATTAAAGGATCATAATAGATACGCTATAAAAGAGGTGTAATTGTTTCTCCTTGATCGATTCCATTTCTGACTGAATATGACTGTGTCAATTCAAAGTTAGTAATAACTTTGTTGGAGTGATCTGAGAGCAGATTAAATATAATTTGAGTGAGTTGAGGTGAGAGCTGAATTCTTTCAAGTGATTTTTGGAGTAAATCTGTATTGACAGAGTCATATGCTTTGCCCATATCCTGAGATAGTAGCCAAAGCTCCTTGTTGTTACAGTCAGAATCTTTAATGATATTGTTGAGAATATGGATTGGAGTAGAAGTACTATTTTCAGGAAAAGCAACATAATTAAGTAGTGATAAAATTTGTTTAGACATTGTTATAATAGTAAAATTCATATTTTTGCTAATAACTTTTGAACCACCACTCCAATTTTAATAAAACTTATACTATTGGAATCAGCACATCGAGACAGTTCTAATAAGCACAAGATCACGTGATTTGGATCACAGGATCTCAAGATCATTAAAGATTTATGAATATTAATTCATGTACAACATGTGACTTAATTCTGATTGGATGATCATAACTGCGCCCAAAATCGATGATTTCTACTCCATCTACCATTTCTACACTTTCTATCCGACAAGTTAAATATGCATTTAACCACAACCTTCCAACTCTGACAAATATCCTATACTTAATTCACAAAATTAATCAACAGCAACAACTAAATACTAATAGCCTTCCTACTAATAATAACCTAATTCCAACATGGCTTACCAATACACAAACATATTGAAAAACATTATATAAAGCTCAGGAAGCAGAAAACTCAATACAAATTCGACAACAAATCGATAAAACAACAGAAAAAAAAGTTTAGCTCTTCAAACACAACCAACAAGAATAATTAATTGTATCCTTAATAGACATACTGACTATGTCTCATTCCAAAACTTTAAAACAGATACAGATTTAATTACTGATCCTGATTTAATTAAGGAACAAGTTAAAAACCACTTTGATCAATAGACTGAACATAGATCCATTAATCAACAAACTTTTAACTCAACTTGGAAAAGTTGCTATGACCCTATCTTTTCTATAAACTTTTCTCACTATGACAATGTTCTTGACATCATTATAGCAGAAGAAATTACTCATACTCTCCAAAATCTTCCTAACAACAAAGCATGTGGCCTATTGGGTATTAGCTATGAAATGCTTAAACATGCTGGAGATGCATTTTTACAAACAACCACAATACTACTTAACAGATGCTTAACTTCTCAATTAATTCCTAAACAATAGAAAGAGAGCCATATCTTTCTAATTTCAAAAAAGCCAGTTTTTGATGGCAACTTGCACAATACTAAGCCAATAAGCCTTATTGAGCATATTAAAAAACTCTACACAAAAATACTCACAAACTGTTTTAGCATTTCTTTAATGTTGTTAAATGGGGAATTCACCTCTTCTAGAGTTCCCAGAGACTGCTGATTATAGTATAAAGATTATAACTTTATAGCTTGTTATATAGCATCTAGAATTAAGACTTAACAAAGAGGTTTTTGTAGTGATTTATGTTAGGGCTAAGAGGCAA